GACATATCAGATGATGGGTTATATAATAGTTCTCCTCTTCCCTAATTCTTTTCCACCATCTCGGGATTTGAATTTAAAATTTCAACATAAAACTCAAGTTCTTAACCATTGAAATGTTGTTTAAGAGATAACATAATTGATATATATATATATATATATATCTTTTAATATCTGTGATATCCCTAACAACTTGATTCGTCTATTCTTGACATTTACACTTGCAAAAGAGAATGTTTCCGTCAAATGTAATGAATTAAACCAGGAACTTACCATCCTCATGCTGGACCTGTATTCCTAAACTTCTAATGACCTTTAGGAATAATTCAGCAGTTCTTTGCCCATATTTGGTTACGGATTTATGGTTTCCGGGATTCTCCTTACACAAGCATCTAGGACCAGATCAATTTCTTCTCTGTGATTGCAGGTTAATTGACTTAAAAGTTTCTCTTTCATAAGTAAAGCAGTCTATGGGAAAGGCACCTCACATTTTCCTCCAGGAACTAATAAGTTATAATCTAGGTAATAATAAGTTATAATATCATAATTATTACCGGCAATTAATTCATGTATTTTGATTACAAAAGAATGTAACTGTTGGATTGGATTCTAACGGTCACCTTGCCACTACATTTTATAGCTCTTCACTTTCTGAAATCACTCATCTCTACTCCTTTCCCAAGTTTCTCTTGAAAGAGATATGTCCAACAATGGTGCTTCTGGTGGCAACAAGAAAGTGGAGGAACCACCACAACCACACCCGGTTAAGGAGCAGATGCCAGGGATTCAGTACTGCGTTAACAGCCCTCCGCCATGGAGTATGAACACCATTTCATGTTATTTCCATTATGCAACTCTAATCTTGTCTTCAGTACCAGTGTTGTCACTTCAATTTTAATGACTTTTTGTTGTTTGTTAGCTGGGAAACTTATAGAAAAACAAAAGAACAACTCCTCTATGCTAAATGAAAGCCTTTTAATTTCCATGTTGCAGTTGAAGCACTTGTATTAGGATTCCAGCATTACTTACTGACTCTGGGCATCACCGTTTTGGTTCCAAGCATAATAGTACCTCAAATGGGTGGTGGTAATGTAAGAAAGTTCTCATTATAAATCTTCTTTCTTTCATTGTTTATTTTTGCCATATTATTCAATCAATTTGATTCAATGGGTCGTTTTTTTCCTGAAACAGGCCGAGAAAGCCATGGTGATACAGTCCTTACTCTTCGCCTCTGGATTAAGCACTCTATTTCAGTCTTTATTTGGAACCAGACTGCCCGTTGTTGTTGGGAGTTCTTATGCATATTTACTTCCACTCACATCTATTATCCAAGCCGGTCGATACAGTTCCTTTGTAACTCCTATAGAGGTGAACAAGCATAATTTGCATTGTCTTATTATGATTATGCAGACGTCATTCTCAATCGGTTGTATCATTTTGTTTATGTGAATTTAGTCCTCACATCAACCCTGTTGTGATGATTTTGCAGAGGTTTGTATACACAATGAGGGGAATTCAAGGTGCATTATTAATCACAGCATGTTTTCAGGCAGTTGTGGGTTTTCTAGGATTTTGGAGAAATGCTGTCAGGTGAGATTTTCAAGTTCTCAATGGATAATTGTTATTCTCCATCTCACTGTCCACTGGTTCTTAGTGTTCTAGTATTGAGGATCATTTCTTGATTTGATGATCATGAATTCCTACATTCACTTTTACAGGTTCCTCAGCCCTCTCTCTGTCGTTCCATTTGTGACTCTGTCTGGGCTTGGACTTTATCATCTTGGTTTCCCCATGGTAACGAGCTCTCTACCCTTCATTTTCATCTTCTAATATAACATATTAGTTTTTGCATATTCACCATTCCAATACAATCTCATCTGTTTTCTTTGGTATAAAATGTAGTTTGATTACTTATCTCTCATCTTGATCTTTCTTTTAGCTGGCTAAATGTGTTGAAGTGGGGCTTCCAGGACTCATCATCTTGGTTTTCATCTCACAAGTAAGTGACATATAATAGGTTCTTAGTTACTTGCTATTGTCACAAAACATCACCATTTTCATCTGGCACGAAGCACATGCAGCACCATGAGTGGTTGTAATATAGGGGCTTACCATAATGCTTTTGCAGTATCTTCCATGCTACATGCGGCAACAGAAGCCCATATATGATCGATTTGCAGTTCTGGTCTCTGTTGCAATTGTATGGTTATATGCTCAGCTGCTAACTTCAAGTTCAGTTTATGAACACAAATCTGAAACCACTCAAATTAGTTGCCGCACTGATCGTGCTGGACTCATTAGTGAAGCTCCATGGTAAGATCATCTATGAATTATAAATGCATCAGAGAGCAATGAATATTTTTCTCTAAAAGGTCTTCAGTTTTGATGCTTGCATGTTGCTCCAGAATACTACTAGGGAACATAAACACATTCACATTCATCATTTTTGTTTGTAAGTATTCTATAACATTTCATACAGGCGAGTAGTGAACATATTAATCAATAAACATCTGATACCAGCTTTTTGAGAAATGGTATGCATTGATGCAACATTTTATTACATTTACATAGATTATCTCACTTTAAGGTTCAAATTGCATCTTCAAATTTGTCTTTGATTTTGCCTTCTGTTTTAAATCAAAGATTTTATAGGTTCATCAACTCTGAAGCATCATTTTGATTGTTTGTGAATTAGTTTCACAGTTGCCAAAAAAGAAAGAGTTTCACAGATTTTTCTCTCTTTTCATGTTTCTCACATTCCTGTATGATGATTTTGACAACAAAATATCGCGTCTCCTATTGTCTCCCTTCATGCAGGATATATATTCCTCGTCCCTTTCAATGGGGGGCTCCCACTTTTGATGCTGGAGAAGCTTTTGCCATGATGGCTGCTTCTTTTGTATCCATAGTTGAGGTTGGATCCATATCTCTAATTCTGTAAATGTGATCCTAATTTTCTTAGGGTAAACCTGAGGTAAGCCCTGCAATGTCCTAATTTAGGGAGCAAACACTAATCTTCCCCTTGTTATTGCAGTCTACTGGTACATTCTATGCAGCAGCAAGGTTTGGAAGTGCTACACCTGTTCCACCTTCTGTTATCAGCCGTGGTACTGGCTGGCTGGTATGAATCATTTCTCACGAGACACACTAAATGCTAAAAGCCTAAGATCCTCACATCTCAATTCTGAACTCTGTCCTAATTCTTGCAACGCAATTTTTTGAATTTCAGGGAGTAGGAGTTTTAGTTAATGGCATACTTGGCGGTGTTACTGGCACTACTGCATCTGTGTAACGAATTGCAACTTTATCTTATAAATGACTGTTCTAAATTATTTAGAAAAATGGAAATTCGATATCATGATATGCTCTATGGTTTGCTCATGCCAAAGTACCTTATACTATTCTCCTAAATGCAGAGAAAATGCAGGCCTACTGGCATTGACAAAAGTTGGAAGCAGAAGAGTGATTCAAGTATCAGCTGGGTTTATGATTTTCTTCTCTGTATTTGGTAGGTATCTAAAAAAAACTCTAAAATTTTCATGTATATATAATGAATCATACCAAGCTCTTTCTCTTGATCTTCATTAGTACATGTTCTTGATTATCTCTTTTTTTTTACCAGGAAAATTAGGTGCAGTTGCTGCTTCCATACCCCTCCCAATACTGGGAGCTTTATACTGTGTTCTCTTCAGCTATATCTGTATGTATCTTTCTACACCCTCCTTAATCTTCTAATTTCAGCCAAAAAACAAAAAAGGAAAAAAGAAAAAGAAAAAGATAAAAGAAGAAAGAAAGAAGGAAAGAGAAGAGAGAAGAAAAGAAAAAAAGACTGAAATTTTTCTATACAACGTTTCAATGCAGCTTCTGCTGGTCTAGGCTTTCTCCAATTCTGCAACCTGAACAGTTTCAAAACAAAATTCATTTTAGGCTTCTCTATCTTCATGGGTATTTCAATCCCTCAATACTTCAGAGAGTATTATCATGGAGGTTTGAGATCAACCCATACTCACTACACTGGCTCATGGGTGAGATTCTTGAATTTGAAAATAAAATAAAATCCCATCTTTGCCTTTCTTAGTTGGTCTTATTCTTATGAATGAACATTTTCTGAATTGCAGTTCAATGACATGGTTACTGTCATCTTCATGTCACACACCACGGTGGCTGCTCTGGTTGCTTTCTTCCTAGACCTAACGCTTGCCAGAGAAAATGATGAATCAAGAAAAGACTGTGGATTGAAGTGGTGGGAGAAGTTCAGCATATACAACTCAGATATTAGGAATGATGAATTCTACGCCTTACCCTGCTGCCTCAGCAAACTTTTCCCTGCCCTCTGATCCTACAAACAGTGGCGCAAAACACTTTTTAAATTCACAATTTCGGAATTTTTGATGTTTTGATTCATTATGCAACTTTATGCAACAATCCTCTTATTGTCTTCTTCTTCTTTTTCCATTATGCAACTTTATGCAACAATCCTCTTATCGTCTTCTTCTTCTTCCGTTATGCAACTATCCTCTTATTGTCTTCTTTTTCTTTTTCCATTATGCAACTTTATGCAACAATCCTCTTATAGTCTTCTTCTTCTTCCTTCTTCTTCCATCATGCAACTTTATGCAACAATGCAACAATCCTCTTATTGTAACTTTATGCAACAATCCTCTTATTGT